GCTAAGGGAATGAGGCTGTGAGAGTAGACTCCCACCTCTATCACAGGGCAGTGGATTGAATACTGCAAGCACAGAGCAATTAACCGTTCCTGGGAGCCAGATTGAAATCTAGCACCAAATAGCACAGCACAGTGGAAAGGATCTTGCCATAAATCAGGGGTGACCTCTCCCCAGGACAGGTCCCGAGGGAGGTCAGAAGGTGAAGCAGTGATAATACCAGCTTCCTAATTGTTTCAGGTTGAGCAACATCAGGGCCACATTTGCCCTAAGTACTGTCATTACTTTCCTCCAGTTAATTAAGCAGGGTGGGGCAGTATCAGATAAACCTTTGACCCCCACCTCTGAGCTGCATCCCCAGTGGCACCAGCCTACATTTACCTCGGGGTGAGCAGGTCACAAGAGCAGCCCTAGCTCCAGAGGGAGATCCAAGCCCTGTCAGTGGGTAGAGGCTATGTCAGGGCTCAGCCCAGGGAGGAGGATCCACCTGACCCCCACCTGAGATCAACAGCCTGGCAGGGATAATGGGTTTGGCAGGAAGAGGAGTTTTCAGCTCTCGCTGACATTTTAATTAATGGAGATTGGGGTCCAAAACCCCAAGGCAGATTTAAAAGTTTCCCCCCTTGGTTGGGGGCAAGATCCATGCAGGTATCTGCAAACTACAAACTAAGGGAAAGACTGCTGGGAACAGAGTTGCCAAGCACAAGAGAGTCTGTAAGAGGGAAGGGTAAGGGACAGATTGCTCACCAAGGTCACTGGACACCTACAGCAGGGAGTGGCTAATGGCAGAGGTGGGGACTTCCTTGGATCTCAGGAAAGAAAGTTACAGCCCCACTCCCCACTCATTAGGCAGATTGGCCTGGGGTGAGACAGGAAGCCACTTGCCAAGGAGCTGCTTGACTGAAGAGCTCTTTTCATGCAGTGAGCCAGCACCTGCCCACTCCATATGCTGCTGCTGTTACTTTACTTGTGTGGATGAGCAGACGTCAATAGGATTTCCAGCTTGTAGCAGCTGCCCTATTGAGAGAGGCTCCTGCTTCCTGTATCCCCTGGAAACAGGAGTGAAAGGAAAAGAGGAACAGTCCCTTGTGTCTAACGGTTTGTTTGAAAAGGAGGACATGTGTTTCCACACATCCCAGCTTGCATGTCGTAGTTCCATGTGTGCGTGCATGCACACACACACCCCCCTGCACAGATGCCCCTTACCTGTTGGTGTACTTTGCTGGTCCCTAGCTGAATTTCTGGCTTGTTGATCAAATTTATCACCTCTCAGTTGACTTCCCACCATCCGTTCCAAGGTCCTGCACAGCTCTTCCCATGCCTCTGCCTCATCTTCCATCCCCTCCCTCATCTATCGTGTCTTTTCTTCCTTCTCCAAGTCCTGTTTTCCACACAGCCCCCTAAACCCAGGATGACCTCAGGCTTAGTACACCAGTCCTCTTCCTCCCTCATTCACATCCCTCATGAGAGGATCCACCAATGTAAAGGGGGGAGAAATCAAGAGTTTTAAATGATCTAGTAGGACTCCTCCTGCCCCTAGATTATACCCTCCAGGGTCGTGACAGGTTTGGTTATTTGGGTTTCAGTCCAGCTGTTGGTGTTTATGGAGATCAAAAGTCCATTTCCTTCAGCAAAGGGGTGAGTTGGACTCTGACTGTCAGTCTCAACATGATACATACCTTGTTAAAATCCACATAGCCACCTGCCAGGTTTCAAGGCCACCTTGGGTGATGTTTCAAGAATGATTAGTTGAGAAGGAAGATCACACACACATAGTCTCTCTTCCCCAAGTTTTACCCCAAAACTGAGGACATAAAAGTCTGGTGCCTGTGCCTCAGATCCCTGCAGGTAAAAATGAGGAGGCTGATGGCAGACCAGTGATTTTCTGCAAACAGACCTGTGACTCAGCTGCCTGTGTCACACCTACATGTTCTGCCTTCCCCCTCTTAGCCCAGCAGGCTGGGGTCTAGCGCAGTGATGGGAGAATGAGCTAGGTTCCCATCTTGACGCACACACCAAACATGCAGTTGTCAGCTAAGTCCCAGGGAAAGGATTTTTATTGTGGTGACTGGTGCGAGAGGCAGATGGAGTCCTGCTGGATTTTCAGCTCCACAACTGTATGTGCAGGCTGGGCTGCCAGAGAAAGCCCAAGGTGAGTTTGCCCGCAGGGTCAGTAAAGATTCTTCTGGAGTTTTGAATGAGTCCACTTCTCTAACTGCATAGGAAAGGAGAAGCATGCTGTGGACTCCAGGGAGCTGGAAGCCACCATGTCTCACCTGCTTGCCCAGAAAAAGGCAGCCAACTGCAGGAGCCTGATAGCTGCTTCAGTCCCTTCCCATGTGAACCTTCAGTGTGGCTGATCACCCCTGTTTTCTGCTCCCTGGAGTCCTGCCCTCTCCCCCTCCCCAAGAGGATTCTTTTGCTGGAGCATTCTCCAAATCGTTTTAGTCCACTCCTTTGTTTTGCTGGGGGAGAGCGGCAGAAGTGGGAGGTAAGGAGTATTCATACCATGGGGTTTTGTGCAGGCTCCTCTGCTTTGTGCAGCTGAGATTTCTCCAAGAAATCTTGCCATCTAGGGATTTGCCTGTCAGCAAATGCTTGATCTAAAAACCCTGTTCTGAGCTGGCCTAATCCAGATCCTGAGACTTAAGATCCCCTTGAGTTGAGAGGGGGAGGGAGAGGGCAGCCAGAGCCCTGCTGACTCCAAGTACCGGGACATGCCTGAGGCAGAGGAATGCTCCTGGCTGGAAGCAGCTGGAAGCTTACCCTGTAAGCTCCTTGGGGCGGAGGCTGCCTGTCTCTGCAGCCCATGCAGAGCTGAGTACACTTTCAGCACTTAGGAAATGAGAAAGGAGAAGAAAGAAAGGGACTTCTGGAGGGACTGGATGTATTTAAATCAGCTGGTCCGGACGATCTCCACCCCAGAGTGCTGAGGGAAGTAGCAGAGGTCACTGCAGGACCCCTGGCACGGCTGTACGAGCACTCGTGGTGCTCTGGTGTGGTGCCAGAGGACTGGAAGAGGGCCAATGTGGTTCCCATTTTCAAAAAAGGGAGGAAGGAGGACCCAGGAAACTATAGGCCAGTTAGTCTTACCTTGATCCTGGGTAAGTTTTTTGAGAGAATTATTCTGGCTTATGTCCACGAGGGGCCAGCAGGGGAGATTATGCTTAGGGACAACCAACATGGGTTCATTAGAGACAGGTCCTGTCAGACCAACCTGGTGGCCTCCTACGACCAGATCACCAAATCTTTAGATGCAGGGGTAGCAGTGGACATAGTCTTTCTGGACTTTAGGAAGGCTTTCGACACTGTCTCTCACCCCGTTCTCATTA